GTGGGGGGGGGGGGGGGGGGTTGGTTCTAGAGGATAATTATTTTTGTTTGTTTGAGTTTGAGGACAAACTTTTTTTTCGACAATCTAGCTAAAGGATTAGACATGAGCCTTTGGTCGACTCGGGCAATAAAGATTCCATGCGACTTAGCTTGCTAGGGGGGCTCATGGGAATTATATGCATCTTGGTTTTATTCGTTGCCTTGAAGTGAAACCTTCGGAAGAAAGCTTTGAAAAGTTATTGGATTCAAGATATTGATTATTCACATGGACGATAAGATTTTCTTTTGAATGCCATTTATTTGCAATATACTTTGTTCCATTTTAAGATGTCTGGTTTACTTTACAACAAAATGCCTGCCTTTTCAAATAAGTGGATTCTTAAATAAACTTATATCTTTCTTTGTATATAATCCTTTTCAAGAGCACTATACTCTTGTTATTTGTTTTTACAGCGTGGGATGGAATGGATTGACCTTCTAAGTTTCCAACTTCTGGCGTTCTCACCTGTCCTAATATATAATTTATCTGGAACTGAACATATGCTTGGAGCAACTTTGTGTAGCAGATGATTTATTTGTATTTTCTATACTATATGGGACATCTAAACTAATGTTGACTATATGCATCCTTTGTAATGGATTTTGGCAACCTTGGTACTTTTTTGTGGTTTTGTAACTTTTGAAGGAATATCTGTCGTTTATGGCTGGTGTTTCTACTCTCAACTGCTGCCATGTTAGTAATCAGTTTTGTTTGTTGCTAAAGGTTTGACTTTGGTACATCAAAAAAAGCTGGATTGTGGATGAAATATATCGGCACTGTACGTGCGAAGCTTCTGATTTCAACCGTTATTGCAAAACCAAAATCCACAAACTTGGGGAAAAACTGATTTTTATTGGCAACGCCTGCAAATTTTGGAGCGAACATAAGATTGTCTATCTGTCTCCTACTTCCATGAAAGAGCTTGAACCAAACAGCAATTGTGTGGTGAACACTTGTTGAGAATTATCTCCTCGTCAAAACTAGGGGCAACTGTGACAAGGAAACAGCTCGAGCGGGAGAGCAGGGATATCTTTAGTGCCTCTCTGTCGATCACAAGCTTGGTTGAGAATTGGTATTTACCATCAGGAAAAGACTTTCAAGGTAACAACATGCCTCACTTGCATTTGACAGAGATCATTAATAAACACTGTGGAATCTCGTCCATTAGTAAAATGGATGGCACCCTCAAATGGAAAATTCAAACAAAACACTGATGCCACTGTTCGGATGACCAAGAAAGTATGCAACTGGCAACTGGGACTGTTATACTGGACCATTTGGGCACTGTCGCCAAGAAATTTTTTCATTGTTTCGAATCAAAGACTACTGAGGCAATTGCACTCTAGGAGGGAGCAAACTTGACTCAATGTTACACTTACAAGATTGAGGTAGTTGAATGCAATGCTCTTGGAGTCTTACAAGGACTAAAAGTGAAATCTTTGAATGCAAGTTAATACCATTTGAAGTTGGTTGTGATACTTTTTACTTTATGTTCATGATTCGCAAACTGATTTCAATAACTCGGTTGATTCTTTGTATTATGATATTTATTTGCAGATGTCAATCTCAATGAGAGCTTATGATTGGTTTCCAAGAAAACCGCAAAATAATAGTAATAATGGAATGAATTGTAAATTAAATGCATTAATAAGCAATTTCAGTTGAAGCCATGTAATTGTTGAACTCACAATCCATTAGAGTAATGGGCGACTTTTCAATAGAGAAGATCCTAATATCGGGAGTCACTTTAGCCTCCCTACTCCACCGCTCATCCGCCTCCTCCGGCGACCTTCACGGCTTTCTCTTTGGCCATGTTGTCTTCTCCGACTCCACTCCCCTCTCCGACGACGACGCCACCGCCACCACCGGCCCATCTCTCACCGCTACCATCACCTCTTTCATCTCCCTCCCCTCCCACCTCCCCCTCCCGCTACCGATCACTCTATCCTCCTCTTCTAACCTCCTCGGCTGGTTCTCCTCCCGCCGTAAAACCCCTCTCCGTCCCTCACTCAGAGACTCCTTAACCACCCTTTCTCTTTCCTCTTCCTCTTCCTCTTCTCTCACCTTCACTCCACACAACTCCACTGCCTTACACCCACCATCTCTGTTTCTTCTCTTAACCACACCGCTTCAAGATAAGTTAATCCACACCCATGAGTATAAAACCTATGAGTACTGCATTCCCAGCAAAACCTTTGAGCCCAAGAGCTTGAATATTATTAACATTGGTCCATCTTTTCGATCCCATTACGATTCTTTCAGCCCCAATGTTCCGTTCCCATTGATCAACTGCGACTTGAGAGGCTCTAATGCGATGGTGGAGGATGAAGAGTGTGAGACTTTGGAGGCCATAAGGAGGGCTTTGAAAAATCAGAAGAAGTTGGATATGTGTGCAGAGGGGTTTGAAATTGGGAGGATGAGTAAACTAGTGGGCTCTGAGGCCGCAAATTACATGGGTGAGTTGGAGGATTTGTATGATAAAATGCTTTGCAAGATTGATGCACTGTCAAAATTGGTGGAGCAGACCTCTGCTAAGGTTGTTGGTCAGGTAGGAATGAGAAGAAAGGTTCAATCTTTAGATTGAAGCTGGATGCAATTTCATTTTTAATCATTGGCTGAATTGTTTCATATTTGAATTTGGTTTAACATTTTTGGCAGGAGAATCATAATATGAAATTGAGGTACAAGGTTGCTGGCATAGACTAATTTTGCTGATGATTCCATGGTTTTTTTCCCGATTTTTGAGGTAATTTGTTGCTTATATTTTGTGAGTTATTTTTTTATTTTTGTAGATATTAGTTGCTAACAAACAATATTTTGGTAATGGCTATATGTTTGCCTTCCATTTTACAATAGAGTCCACACCTCTCTAGTACTTCATCAGATGCGGTTAACATACTTCAAGGAAAAACTTAACTCTCTTTTGTTTATTCATGTCGTTTAAATTGTATATGAACCTTCGTAAATTGGTGACATGATGAAGGACCCTCACTTGTTTTAAACCGTAGCCTATTGCGATCTTGGCATTCATACTTTGATTAACTAGACATGAGGTTATAATCTTCCATCCACCCAGACTGTTATATGAAATGAGAGAAAACTCTCTCTATTCACGTGACGGTTGAGGAACATAGCTCCATCCTCTTAGCCATCTGCTGCCTTCTCCGAACAACACCATACACCTCATCACTGCCTCACCCTCAACACAATTCCACTGACACTACAAGATTACCATCTCCACAACCCATAGTTTCCACCACCATCTTATCGCTACCGCAGTCCCTTCATCTCATAACCCAACCGTCTAAAATAAAATAAGATGCCAGAGTTGAACTAGTGAAGATAAATAGGAGTTACTAGGTAGGTAGGTAGGCATAACATCCAAGCAACCTATCCCCTCTTAATCTCACAATCCCTGCTTTTTTATGATTCACATCTTTGATTTAGTGAAGCAACCCATCCACTCTTAGTCTCACAGTCTGGAGTTGAACCAGTGAAGATAAATAGTACGTGTTTTTCCGCCCACCTTTGATTTAGTGAGGCAAAGATTTTATTTCCAAACCAGAGTCGTCATTTTTCTCTGAACATGAAGTCGCAGCATCCTTTAATGTATTAAACAAACCAGGTCATCAAGTGCCAATATTTGAATGCAACAAGAAGCCCAATTCCTATAAATTTGAGTTTTATTCGCCATATTTGATTCAGAGGTATCCCTTTTAAAAGGTTCCAGAAATTAGATATTGTGCAACTACAAAAGAAAAATGGACAGCTGGGCCATCACTGAATTATTTGATAGAACCAAGAAGGTATGGGACTTCGGTGATATCACCCAAATTTTTTTTAAAAAGTACTGATAAAATGAAATTTGGCTGATGAAAATTGGATGTGATGAGGAATAGGACAAGACAAAACTTCCGAATTTAACCGGACTTGAATTGAACTAAACCGAATTGAGCAATTCTTGTCAAGTAAAAAACCTTGAACTGATATTTGAATTGTGAACCGACAAGTTCGGTTCGGTTCTCGATTTTAAACTAAAAATCGAATAATCGAATAAGAATCAAATCTCCCTAATTATTTTTCTCTTAAATAAGTCAAATTATTTTGTTTTTTAAATAAATTTGCTAACTAATTAGTTCAAGCCCAAAATATAATTTTCCTATTTCTAATTTTCATCTAAGCCCAACTTAATCAAATTGACCTAAGTTTTACCCAAATCTTTTACTCTACCATTTTTGCAGTTATAGAGAAATTGAATTGGAAGCTTGGCTGCTCCTCTCTTCATTATTGTGAGTTCGCTATTTTTTTATTTTTGTGATTTTAACAATCAAATCTATGAAGAACTAAACAAAGGGATGAGCAAAAAGTATCATGGGATTGGACTACGTTATTTTATAAGAGTTAAGATTGAACATGTCATAACTGAATTAATTTAGCATTGTTGTTAATATAAAAAATTTAATTATTGTACGAAATCTTGGAATCGAACTTGAATTGTTCAATAATTAAATTTGGACTCGGAGGTTTCACTTACTAAATACCCGAAAATTCGGAAAAAATTGAACCGAACTGAACCGAATCATGTCCAACCCTAAGGTGGAGATCCCAGCTTGATGAAAGAATATCAGACCCTTTATTATGGGCTTCTCACATTATGTCTGATTGAAATAACAGAACTCTACATTGCAATGATGGTGGTAGGTTCTAGTGGCGACTTGGTGACTGTGCCATGGCTTTTTACCGGATGGAAGGTTTCAAAGGATGAGAATTGGGATTTCCTACTTCGCTTTTTATGTATCTGAGTTTTCTAAGAAATCTTGATTCAAATGATGGGTGTTGCTCAGGACTTTGTGTAATTTTATATAGATTAATGGTGCTAACATGAATTGATGATTGCTGGCATCAATCCGACTTCTTAAAAACACATGGACTGTTTGGCCTGATATACAAGTAGAGTTTCTCTTTTAATACGTGTTCGAAGCAATTTGAGGGGTTTGGCCTTTGGCGCTGGTTGGGATACTTTCTCCATGTTGGGATCATTTAGTAAATGTTGTTTTGTTGGCTATCATAGCTCTGTTTTCTAAGCTGGATGCTGATGGTATTTTCAATGAGGAGATCCGAGGAGTAGACTAGTAGAGTATGTACAATTCTGTCAATTCTAGTGAAAATTCTGGCATGGGAACACTGGTATATTTATTTTGAGGAGATCTGAGGAGTAGACTTGTTGAGAATGTATGAATCTGTCAATTTCTAGGTAATATTCTGGCCTGGAAACATTGTGGCATATTATATGCTACCTTTCAGAATAACTGATCAAAATAAAAAGATTGCATACTTCCTTGGTAAGTCTGTGTACTTGTTCATCCTTATATTTCTGTGTGCATAAGGTGGCGCATAAACTGCATGCCGATACTATTGACATTCATGGACAACAAAATTTGGGAGAAGATGACCTATTTATGAGCTTACTCTTATCTTTATTTTCAAGCTTAATGTATCTTAAATTAATTTTAAGTTACCAACCAGTAGAATCAAGTTTCCTTGTTTATTAGAACGACGTTGGCTGGATATTTCTTGTTTTTTATTTTTGATCTTTGACTTTCATCAATTCGTGGAGTATTCTCTACTGAGCATGGCTTTATTTTTGTGTTCAATTTTCTCTTATACCTGGATTCAGCGTATGCCCACCCCATATCCTCCCTCTCTTTTTGGGCGCTTTGGAACATACTAATTTGTAGAATGATTTATTCTACTAATGTTATGTTTTTAAGTTCTGTTTTGTGACAGAATTTTATCATGGGATAAATGAAATGCATCACCTCAGTAGTGTCATTGTACTATGTTTTGCTTCAAATATGCTCTGTTTTCCCCCGCATTCTTCTTGTCAATGGGTTAAGACTTTTGAGCTATATATGGGATGTTGAAACAGAAACATTTAACTAGAAAACTTTTGAGTTTTCAGTAATCGACATAGATTACAGAACCTTTTGTAATAACTAGTAAGAACAAATATGTTACAACACGACTTACTGCACTTTATATATTGTGACTAGTTTTTTACTAAGAAACCAATGTAAACTATAATGTTTTGATTAATCAGTTAGTAAGTGAAAAACATTTTCAAGAACAAAAGTATATAGTGAGCCTTCTACGATCATGAGTCAGAGAATTAAAAAAAGTGGCTTTTTTATATATTGAAAAATCGTTATTCATTTTGCTTGCTTCCTTTCTCTCTCCTTTTTTTCTCCTTGTCATGGATAACATACAATAGCATATCCACACATAAAAAAATTTGTTATTGGACTTTTGGCTTGGATTACTAATTTTTCTTAATAATTTATAGTATTTTCAGTTTTTCAAACCTGTAGGACATGTGACTGCACATTAAATACCACGCTACGACTATTAGTACAAGTTACAGTCTCCGATCGTGTTTTGAACCAGGTTCTTTGAGAGTTTGAATGCTAAGTCTACTTTTATTTGAGACGTATTATTCTTTTGTTCGAAAACGATAAACATCTTTGATAGATTCTATTGAACAGTGAGTTTCCTTGTTTGACATTTTGGATGGTGATAATTGTATTCATTACGAGTTTCTTCTCAGCTGCTGAGCTATGTTTTTTTATAGTTGATTTCTCCAATCTTGTTCGACTAGTATCATGAGTTTATTGCCGCTGACCTGTTGCCTTTGCCTTTTACAATGACCAGACGACATGAAAGGCAATGACCAGTAGACATGTGCATTCGAGGGGGACTTTACTCTGTTGAACTTAAGTTTTCATTGGTTCGTTTATGTAGAGAAAAAGGATGTAACTTGTGTCATTTATGGCCACAATTTTCATTTTACGTATAGTTTCTGTTACTGTGTAGATCCTGGAAGCGTGAAAGGTGCGTGAACTCGATGACTTGATAAGATAAAGAGAGAGAGTGATACTGTTTTTGCTGCTTGTTGGGATTTTAGATGATTTTGCGGCGGACGACTCTCCTTGGACCTCAACAACGTAAACTGCCTGTTATTGTAATTTATTTGTACTGGCCTTGTTCTCTTATGTACATATTACCCCTTCCTTTTGTTGTATACTATGAAGAATCTTGACTTTTGGGACCAAAGAGAAAGGAACTGAAAAATGTGTTATGGTCTTATTTTCTTCTCTGTATATGTTCACCTTGAAAGCCTTATTTTTGGTATTGTACATTCCAAGGTGGAAGATATGACTGTTGTGCAAGGATTGAACCTTACGAAGCAGCACAACGTCAGACATTGCGAAAACTATGATGGGCGAACGAGCACGTCACGAGAATAGGAGTATTGCTCCATTTCAAAAATGCCCAACTCAAACACAGCTATTTTACGAGGAGAGAGAAGATTCTGCATTTTCAAAATTAAATCGACAGATGGAGGGCCATTACTTGCTATAACAAATCATCTTGACTTCGCATTCTACGAATATGATTAAAAATCAAGTGTTCGTGTTCATGTTCATGTTCACTCTCATGCTCATACAGGGGCGGACCCACATGGGGTCATGTGGGGTCAAATGGCCTCACAAAATTTTGCCCCTCTTTTTTTTTTGGTTTTTTGTTTTTTTGTATTGTTTTTTACAATCTACTTTGATGTATTCGTCAGGATGTCAAATGAAGTCAAAATATTACATTCTTAATACCATTTTGAAGTGTTCATGGCCTAGTTTTTCACTCATTAATGGTATGCGAAGTGGTCAACTATAGTAGGTCATTTGAAACTAATATTTTGAGAATTTCAATAATATCCTAACTTTAAACATTCGTTTGCAATCATGTGCTATCTGAATTCACAAATCATCTATGTCATGTAAAAGTTTGTTTCGAAAATTACATCGTTTTCATATTGAATGGTCCAAACGGATATCGAAAATAGTTAAATATGTATCAAACGTTTGCCTCAAAAAAGACGTCTAACTCATTTTTTTTAAAAATTCAATTAATTTATTTTTGCACGATAAAATTTTCAATATAATTTAGATCATTTCATTCGGAAGTTTTACATGAAATATGACATAAATTTTTTAGGATCGTTACAGATTAAATGCAATTTGAATTACTTTCGAATTATGTTTGCTTTAAATTTGAATTTCATTTACTTTCTGAACTAAACTTGAATTTTATTTCAATTCATTTAGTTTCTATATTCAATTTAATTTACTCAATGTTAGCTCAGCATTTGTCAACGAAATGATAAACAAAATTATACAAGTAGCAAAATTTATTTAATAATATTAATAATGATATAATTATACGACGTTTTCAAAGTGTCAAAATATATATTAACTTATTTTCATTGATATTATGTTGTTTATTAAAAAAATTATTTTTAAAATTTTGACCCCACAATACTAAAGGTCTGAGTTCGCCCCTGCGCTCATAAAAGCCAACTAACTATATCGTAGTGGCAAGTTAGAAATGGCTGCTCAAAGTATGTCGTGGGCAATTTGTATCGCAAAAGCATGAAACGGCGATATCGTGGTGGCTGTTAGTATTGGGAACGTTCGCTTTCACACTCACCGGTTACGAATTTTAACCTTGTGTTGATCGATCATTTTTAACTTGCCACTACGATATTGTTGTTTAGTAGTTTATCGTCACGTATTTTGACCTTAGCATATGGTAAAATTGCTAATTAAGATATTGCCCGATACTTTTAGGAGCTCACTTTTTCAGTAATTTATTGATTTATAAGTAAAAATAAAATTTTAAAACAAACCTAAGTAATTAGCACAATTTCTACTTATAAATATCTGTAGCGAGATTATTTAAAAAATGCTTACAAAATATAATGAGATGATATTAAAAAATTTCTAATTTTATTTGCTTTTTGACATTATGAATTATGTTTTAAGAATAAAATATATATATATTTTTAGATTCTCTCAATTTTTTTGGTGTTGTCTCTAATGTAATAATTTGATTGAGCCAAAGTGGACAACATTAAAAAATATACCAAAAAAAAAAATCAATGAAATGTATAAATAATTGGGGGAAAAAATGTAGACATTAAAGTTTGTGTAAATTTGAAAATTCAATTTTAACTCTGGAATTAACAAATGATTAGTAACACCAAGCAATGGCACCACAGAGCATCTCCACCTTCTGGCGAAAATATCTCCCCTCAATTGTAATATGTACACATCCATATTTGCATATGGAATCGGCTACAGTGCCCACGAACATGACCGCACACAGACAATACAGACGGGTTGATTTTTAAATTCTGATGGGACCCACCTCGACAATGGGAATCATGCAAGGTCAAGTGACCCTCCAAATTTTGAGGTTAATTTTTTTTTCTTTTGATAAGTCCTATTGCAGGTTGTTTGTCAAAATCCTTCGCGTATACATCTTTATCTTACATAGATTAATCTCCCCGTATAAAGAGAGATTGTATATAGAGAATGATCGGTTGGGATAAAAATGTTTTTTTGTTCTATTTACATAATCTATACAACATGTAACAATAATATATAAATACAAACAGCTTTGTTGTATGAGAAATATGATTGAACATTTGAACCCTGTACATCTGGGCAGGAACTGCAGAAATCTAAGTTTAGCAATAAATATAGAAACTTCAGGAAAAGCCCGATCAAGCCAGGGCCTGAATAAAAATGGTTATCAGTCAATTTTTGTAATCAGTCTTCTTTTCCAAATAATAATGCAGATGAGAAATGCTACGTGTTAAGGTCTACAGATTGATTGAATGTCCACTGACAAGATTTCATTAAATCTTGAATAAAAATCAAAGTTAAACTAACCAATTAAATTCTGCCATTTACAAAAAATCTGTACAAGTAGCAAGATTTCTTGCCTCCCAACATTAAATTATACAATAATATTCACAAAAATAAATCTCTTCACTCAACGTAATCTGCACCACCAATTCCAATCTCAACATTGCATAAACTGGCCCTGGTTTTCATAATGTTTTCTACAAGTACTGCTTTAGTAACCAAGTTCTTGATCTCTTGAAGAAAAATTAGTCTTTAAATCGAGAAAAATATGGTTAAATGCTAACTTTTTAACATCGATTAAATCAAGAAAATATCATTTTGTCAGATATAATGTCCAAATATGTGGCAATAACAACATAAAAATTTCATAAATTACTTTAAAATACATGCACGAGTAGTAATTGTGTAAAAATTAACATGCATTAATTAAGCAAGGCCGTACCCATTTGGAGTCATCATTTCTACCTCTGCAAACATGGAAGCCTTAACATCATTTGTACGAGAGGTACGCAGTACAAAGAAACCATGAAACTCAGGATGGATAGCGTTATAGATCTACCTTCACGATCACAACCCTTGTCCACCAGCACCACCACCAAAGACGGTGGCTGGCCGAGAGTTATATATGATCGTTTATCAATGGCGCTATCCCTCCTGAGCTTTACAGATTCTCCATACTTTTATCACAACCCTTTTCATAAATTTAAGTTAAAACTGCAAAACTGGATTGTCTTTGCTCGGTGTATGTAGAGAGAGAGAGAGAGAAATGGATCGTGGATGATCGGTTGGGGAGTGTTGAAGGGTTAGGGGGTGGATTTATAGCAGAAAAGAAAGTAGGGAATAGGAGACAAACATCATAAATTCTCTCTAAATTTCCTCCCATAAAAAATCTTTGACTAAAGTTTTTAATATTCTATTTTAATGTATGTGGTAATTTATTTTGCTAATTTTATATTCATTTAAATGTCCCTTGCCGACTACGTTACTTTTCTTCCTCTCTTGAAAATTGAAATACACATTGTGGGTATATAAAATGCTCCATTTTTCTTCATTATTACAGCTGTGTGCAAATTTTCTTCTTTTGCTTAATCATTACATCTCTTATTATTAATCTTCTACTTAATTATGTGTTTGAAACATATATAAGATTGGCTATTTCATCTCCAAAATGTAGCTGGCATGCTAGAAAAATGTGCCACTGAGATAATGCATTAACAGCCTATGATACAGTATTGAATAGAAACCACTGTTTAGATCCCGTTTGGTGGGGATTTTTTGCCCCAAAAAATTGATTTTTTGATCATTATTTTACTATTCAAGCCGTAATTTTTGACTTCTTTTCTCATATGTGGACCCCACTTTTCTTCTAACGGTCAAAAAATCAATTCTCAAAATCTCTACCAAACGGGCCCTTAATTTCTCTATAAAATATCATATTTAAGTTCGATAATTAACGAGAAATGAAGAATTAGATAGTATTTTAATGAATAGTACATTAGATAAAGAATCGATCTCACAATGATTCTTCTCATAATTTAGAGCCTGTTTGGGAGTGATTTTTTTCCCCAAAAAATTGATTTTTTCCTCCCAAAAAATTGATTTTTTACCGTTATTTCACTATTCCGACCATCATATTTGACTTCTTCTCTTACAAGTGGACTCCCATTTTCTCCTAACGATCAAAAAATCAATTCTCAAAATTACTCCCAAACAGGCTCTTAATGGTATTGAAACAAATTGAATTCACCAAAAAGAAAAAAAATCACATAATAAGCCTAAATTTATTAAAACTAAGAAAGATAAATTTTTAGTAATAGTAATTATTTTAAGGTAACATTAGGTTAAATAGAATTATCAAGTAGTCAATTTTCATTTGATAGAAAATAGATTTAATTTTATTTCCTCATCAAATGAGTAACTGATTACCTTACCCTATTGAATACAATTAAGGAACGTTTATTCAATCTTTTCCAAATTAAATCATCATTAGCATACACTAATTAACTGTTCAAGGGCAAAAAAATCAAAATTAGATTTAATTGTAGCACTTATATGTATGGTGGAGGCTTGAAGTAGAGGTGTTCGGTCCAATATGTTGACCCACTGGTCTTTTCAATATTTTCTTTAGAAAATAATTTTGAAATAACTACTATTAAAAAATTAGAGTTTAGCAATCGTGACCACTTGACACAACTCTAGCTAAAAATGGATTGTCTTGGCCTCCCGGGGTACAGCTCAACTGGTCAATCAATATTGTCTTGCTTCCAGCGACAGGGTGGAGAGTTCGATTCCTGATGGGAACCTGCGGTCAAATATTTGGTATGGAGCAATTACTGTGAAGGAGGGTCTCTTGTGTGCAGAAGTGTACAGGCAATGGGAGAAACCTGTGATCC